TAACAGTGGAGTCACTTCATTTCTCTTTTGAAGTACTGTATTTATTTTTTGGGGAGAAGGGAAAGCAACTGTCATGTTCAATCAATACTATTGGATTAGGTTCATTTGATTTCCTATTTTTATTTTAATCTTTATTGTTTCAGAAACGAAGCCGGCCCCCACCAACAACACCACCAAAACGGACTCACAGCCTACGATACTGTGGCAGTGTAATCTCTGAATTTTCATATGCCCCGTACCAAACTGGTACGGCAAAAGTGTGCCATACATAGTAGGCGTAATCATCGCCTTTACATCACTAGACCATCAACTCATAGCTGGGGATAATATTACTCTTTCAGTGTTTACAATCAAAACATTTCTACTTTTGTTCCATTAGGAACAAAAAGTAAAGCCTTTCCCCCTATACCTTTATGGACTGATTCTTCATTTTTCATCATGCATCATGAAATTCTTTCTGATTCTCAGTATTGTGTTACATGTTTAACTAAGCAGCTTAAACAACCAATGCCTACTCAGAAAATCTTTCCATAGCTTTAGCTTTCTTCTATGTATCATTTAATCAGTTTCAAAACTTCTTGTTGGGGAAGGATGCTTGAATCATTTTGTAATCATTGAAAAGTGTGCAAAGATTCGCTCTGAAATCATGGCTGAGATCTTTTTGATAGGTATACCCAGTATGATATTAATATTATCTTGATTAGTCAGTAGGAATCTTTTGTGTTAAATTTCATCCTCACGCTGCTTTTTTGTTTATATTGTTTGTTTTTATTTGAAGTTTCATTGTTTATTGACTTTTGGTGTGTATACGTGCTACAATACGAACACAAATGTGCATGTGTAAATTGATGTACATTGAACTTTGCAGGAGTGATAAAAATACTTCCTGCAGTCAAGTCACATGCCAAATTTATTATACATATTCATATACTATGCTATGTACAATATACTCATAATGCAGTGTGTCCATTAAACATAATATTTGTGCGGGTAAATTAATCTCTAGCAGTGAGGGACTAGTAGCAAATGATGTCATGTTCTATGGTCTAATTATAACTATTCACCCGGTTCTACAATACTAGTCATTATTGATTAACTTCTTTTTCAAGAAAAAATTCTTACGGTTTGGGGAAATTATCCCACTGCCTCTATCGTTGCTGCTGCAATTCTTGCATTGTGGTGTGTATTGAGTCTTTGCAGCAGTGGAAAATGGTGTGTATCTGTTATATATGAGAGCTGTGCCTGACATCATTTGTAATAGCCCCCAAAAATAGATTGATGCGTTTGGAGGAGTGGATCAGGATTAATACTGCTCGTTTTTTAGGGATTATAATTATCAAGGTAGCTCTAGCTGTAGATTCTAGGCATGAAGAAAGGATCAGGGCAAAGGCAGCATGTTCAGTCGAGTCAACTGCTAGTGCCGCCAGATCAGAATGAAAAAAGCTCTTTTGCTTTCTTGGTGCTGTGCAGATTCTTATGTGTACCATGTCTGGTCTTTAGTGTGAGAAACATTACAATTAATTGTTGCAATCGGAGGCACCTTATACTGGCTCTAGTATCACAGCTGAGAGTTTGAAAGAGCTTGTATGAGAATTACAAGCATAATTCTTAAGCTGATCTGACAAGTGTATTTACCCAACTATTAATCCTGATATGTTTCATCTAAATGTGTTAATTTCTGTGAGGCTTGAAAGGTCTTTATGTCACTTCCTCTTTCAAATACCTATCATTTTTTTATCCCTTTTGGGCACACTGTGTGTGTTTGGTTTCAAGCAAAGCTCAACATGTGACATGTGATATTTTGTCCTGAATTAAGTTACTATTTAAATTTTTTTAACATTTTATTTCTGATTGTTGTATGTAGTATTTGCTGATCGGCAGTCTCCCAGTGGTTTCATTTAATTTATAATTGTTATTAATTATGTGTGGATTAATGGTAGCTCTAAATTGACACTTGTAATGGTTAGTCCCTTACTACGGAGAAGTATGAGACTGGCATGGGGCAACTATGTCACTGCCAAGTGATAAATATGCGTCCGTACTTATCACAGAAACAGCGATTGGAAAGAAATCTCTTCTCGTAGCATTCCGGGCGATGACTGAACTTTGCATTTTATTAACTTTCAACTCCAAAGAAATGTTAGACTGCAAAGTATCTTCTCACTTAAAGATGTTTGGTTTTCACCCTTATTTCTTTTTGTTCTCTCTTGTATTGTGTTTTATTTTAACCTAATCGTGTCTGGCAAGAGTGAACTGAGTATCTCTTTATCATAAGGGAGCCAGTGCAATGTTGTAACGTTCATGTGCTGAGTGGCCAATTGAATGAAAGACCAGTACTCCTCACTGTGATAGAATGTGCTGGGTTTTTTAATTGGCATGGTGCTAAGTGGTGAGAAAGACGAAAGTAGCAAAGTTTCCCCTTTGGTTGCACATTAATGTGCAGAACACAGTCTCTTGAAATTAAATAAGCTCTACAAAGTAGAACTGATTGATATTTCTTCTTCCATAGAAGTAAAATGAATTGAGATAGGGGAAGCCACTTTGAAATTAAGACTCATAAATTGCCAAAATCTAAGATGAGTACCTAGAATTCTCATTAACTTACATGAAATAGATACTCAAATTGGGTCAGCCCAGCACCAGAATGACGGATTTTAGGCTTGTTAGCTATCTTGAATTGCAGATGATATTCTACTCGCTCATATCTGCAGTTTTAAAAAAAACTAATTATAATGCAGCATTTTATGAAATATCTACATTATAATGTGAAAATTTCGCCAAGTTACTCTGTAAGTTTCTTTTTGTAGTCAATATTTGAAACTATGTAGTCCTTGGCTTAGCAAAACTTAATCAACTTAATCATATTCAATCAATTTATCTTTGTTTCTATGGGTTTATGTCATGTATTTGCATTTTCTGTGTGTCCTTACCCTATGGAGCAGCTCCATATTATCCATTAAATTTTGTAGCGTAATTCATACGCCCAGAGGGCTCATACTTTAGATTATACACGCTTCTATCATTTTGGATCTGAAATTGCATTCTTGATATGCTTTAAGTAAGTCCCCAGTGCTGCATTTTTCAGTGTCAAACTTCTCTTTACTTAATACATAGTCTCTTTTAATGTACAAAGTATTTTATTCTCAACAGTGCATTTGTATTCAAGTAATACAACAAGTTTACACTTAAACTTTGCTTGGATTGCTTTGAAAACTTTTTAAATTAAATGTAATTTTAAGTTTAGTCATAAGTGCAAGTTATGTTTAAATAACTTAGCTATCTATGTATTATATTATGTATGTCATTTTACTTTTTTGAGTTAAATGAATGTCAGGATGAAGACGCAGAGATGGAATTGGATTTGCTCTATTTGATGAGGGGCAGTGATGCCTACACAGGAAAAAGTGACCTTGTCAGAGAAGGAAATCAACAAAAGAGTCTCTATCTAGAAGTCAGGAAATCAATTGAGTGCATAACAGAATGATGAATTTTCAAAATTATTTATTAAACATTACAGTTGGTAGAATTTTGTGAGTATACTTCTCACAAATACATACTTTTTTTCTGTCTTATGGTACAATATGGATTAAGTGAGCATGAGCTGTGCCCTCACTGTTGTAAGATGGAATTGCTCAAGGCTTCAAGGAAATGGAACATAAAATTGAACTGGGAGGTTGACTGCTACACAAATGTCATACATTTCTGTAAGAAATGTTGGTATCATGTTTGAAGCTCTCTGAATTTTTATGAGTTTCATGGAATTGATGAAAAAAGAGAAAGGGGTGAAATCTCTCTGATTGCCTGAATACATGAAGAATGATTTGTGGAGTTTGTTGTCTTAAATCAAGTAGAGATCTCAACCCCTTTCATCTGGTGTTATACTGACTTCCCTTTTCTGCTATGGACACTTCTGGGTAAATTTTACCTACAGTTTGAAGTGAGTAAGACCACTTGCCTCCTCATTTCAAACTTGAGCGCTTCAGTCAAGGTACAGTGTTTAGTTAACAGCTGAGCTAGCAGAAGGCTTCCTTTTTTATCTCCATGTAAGTTTATCTGTGGGACTGTGATGTTTCATTAGCTTAATGGGAAGCGTTCAATATGCTGTTAGCAATTTCATCAAAATGCTGTATGAGGCACAAAGGAATGTAAAGTGTCGTTTTAAGCTTCCAGAAAGTCAACCAGATTAGGGGTCCTAGTCACACAGCTCTTTGGTAAATATTTCTTGTATGTTTCTTGTGTATAATTTTAGTTCCACTCGTTTGTGCTTTTTTTCTTATGCACATCATACCAATCAAGTGTGATCAACTGTTTTCCAATCGAACCTACCTGTGATGTTATTGATGTGAGACCTACTCTTAATTTATTATCAAGTTAAAACTCATTACTTGAAAGAGTTGGTATAGGACCAGCGCCATTTGATAATTAAAGCATCACTTTGATTTGGTCAGTAGACAGTTAAGTGAAAAAAAGACTTAGCGTTTGTTTATAGTATTATTCTTTTTCTAATTTAAAGGAAATTTAATTCACCATGAAACAGAAATTGACCAAAGAGAGAAATCCTGTGGGCTGGACTCCTAATATGGAAGCTATTTGTACCAAAGTTGTAGAGTGGTTAGTAAATTTGTGTTAATAAATTCTAAATTAAAATTTATGTGTTGTTGTTATTTTGTGCATGTCTGTGGTGTGAGAGTGTGTGTGTGTGTGTGAGAGAGAGAGAGAGTACAGTGCACCTCCATTACCAACTAACACACATTTATCCACCTTTAAGATGAAGAGAGTTGGGGGAGGACGGGGTGGAGTGCCTTGCGCAGCGCACAGGCATGCGATAGTTGGGAAACACAATAACACGTCGTGACAGTGCGACAATACTGCCATACACATTTGTTTTGCCATATTGCGCACCAGCACAGCCCGTACCGACTGTGCATTCGTTTGCGTCACTGACCACCACCCAGTGTTAATGACGACCAGCCTGTTTGCTCGCCGTCAACACAATGGTTTGCACTGACTGCCCCCGCCACGCCACTTGGCCGGGCATCAGGAGTTCATGTGTGGACGCGGGCGGGGGCTGGGGTGGTGCTCATTATGCCACACTTACGACAAAATAAAACCTCCTCTCCCCGGAGCCGCCCCTTTCTGTCCCCTCTCAGATCTGTTAAGACATGCGCCCCGTTTCGAGTCCAACTGAAGGCAGGGGCAGTGCACTGTGCTGTGGGTTGCCTCCATACAGTGCGCTTGCAGTGCGTATTGCCTACCTTCCAGGCGGCTCTTGAGGGCTGGTTGTGAGTCGACCTTCGCCTGACTCGCGAGCCCCCCTCACACCGACTGGACAGGACAGGGGCGAACGGGTTACAGCCGGAAAGGAAGAGTAAAGAGAATCAGAGAACGAGGAAGAGGGGGGAGGGGAGGGGGCGGACAGAGGGAGGGCGGCTCGGACATCCAAGCCACTCCAAGCCGCGCCGCCGCCGCGGCACTCGATCCGATCGCGGCCGAGTGGGGCCGAGCTACTGCTGCGGAGCTGATCCTGATCACCACCACCGCCCAGGCCGGCCAGGCCGGAGAGAAGAGAAGGGTGCGGTTCGCCGCCAACAGCCCCGCGGTGCTCCGACATTCACTTTGCTCGGGGCACAGGCAGACCCAGTGACCCTAGCAGTCTAGGAGAAGACCTCAACGCCCTCGTTGCCCTCTGCGGGTCGAGCGCACACACACCCGCGCTGTCCGCGGCATCGCGCCACCTCCAGCCACCCCAGCGCGCCGCTGCCCTCTGGCCTGCCCTCCTGTCCCACCTGTTGTGACGGCGATCGGGGCGGCGCTGACGGCGAACAGCAGCCAGATCGCAGTTGGCCGCGCAGGGGGGAAGAGCAGATCTTCGCGAGCAGCCTCGGTAAGTTTGCCGGTGGCCGGAAGTGTGGACCTCGACTGTGCATTTTTTGGCGGGAGCCTGTCAAGGACTCGGCGGCCTGACAACCACTGCAGCAGCTGCGAGGGGCCGCCGTCAGCGTCAGGCCGCCGGCGCCATGACCACGGCGCGTGCTCCGCTGGGCTCCGCGTGCTGCTGGGGGCGCCCGGCCCGGCCCGGCCCGGCCCCGGCTGGTAACGAGGTCCCCCGGGCCTGACCCTTCACTCCCCCCCACCCCCTTTTCGCTGTCCGTCTTGCAACACACACCCTCCCCCAGGCCAGTATAAATGCGAAGCCCTGTTTATTCACTGTTTTGGGTCCTTGAATACCCTTTCGTTTATGAGGACCGGTGATTTGCCGTTGCTGTTTCCAGGACTTCCAGGACCCGGCAGCCGCCCTACCTGACAGACCAGAGGCGTGCCCATAAGGCCTCGGCGTGAGGCTGCGACGCAGCACTCTCCGCAGGTACTAACCGTGCCGACGCCAGGTGAACCGAGCCGCCTGCCGCCGGGGTGCAGGTGGGCTCGCCTTCCACCCGCCATAGACCACTGTCCCCGTGCGTGCAAGTGGGTGACTCTCCCGCATTCCTGCCCAGGTTGGTCGCCCAGCCCCGTTTGAACAGGTGGGTGGTATACCCGCGGGCGTGTTGCCTGCGGGCGCGGAGTCGTCTAAGAGATCGCCCACAAAGTACGTCCGTTTTTCTCAGATCCATTCGGGCCACTTGCGGGAGCTCAGCGCCTGCGAGATTCGGGGTAGGCCACTCCGCAGTACACGCGTGAAACGCAGGCAAGATATTGCCTACCGACAAGGCGCTATGACAGCCTGCAGCGGCTCAACTTGACAGGTTCGAAAAGGAAGGACGTACTTTATGGATGACACCTAAAGCTCCGTAGTCGGTGACGATAGGCAAGCCTGCCCGCATGCCTGCATCCGGGCGTTGCTCAACGGGGCTGGGCGACCACCGCGACCACCGTAACAAAACGGCGTTTGACCGCCGGCCCATCTGAAAAAAAAAAACATGTTTGTCATAAAGCATCATATGAAGTCCTATTGTACTCCAAGAGCCTTCAAACATTTCTAGTGACTGTTGTGGCGTGACATTCCACCCCTCTCTCGTGTCACCAGCGCCGCGGGTTCCGATGTGGGTGGCCATCAAGGACATCATGGTGTTCGCATGGCTGCCGTTCGTCACCCTATCCCTGTGGTGGGTTGTCCCGCACAGGGATGAGTGAAACAGATTGATATTGCAGCAGCTTACTCACGGTAATTTTTTTTTTTGAAATAGGATTGTCGAGACCGACAGTAAGAAAAACTATTCGATTCGCCCAGAGGTTGTCCTTCCCGATCACTACGTGAAAGGTAAGCGTGTGTTAGCCCTACAGAGATGCATGAAAGTTTAAAGTAACGTTTATGGGGTGGAAAGAAGAATAAGAGTGTCTTTAACACCCCCTTTCCCTTGGTTGTCATCAGAGATCCAGCCTCCTGCCACCACAGGGCAGCCCGTACATTTATTCTTCGATATACATATCGTTGACATCAACTCCATCAACGTCGAAGACATGGATTTCCGGTAAGAATTGCTGTACTATGAGCTCGTTCGTTATTGCAGTAGGGCAGAACGGGCAGAACCAGGCGAAACGCACTCGGTCCTCTTCACTGTTTGCCATTATTGCAGCGTGGACATGTTCGTGCGGCAGCAGTGGACGGAGCCCCGTCTCCACATGCCGGACGCCATTTTCGAGGACGGCGAAGACTACGTGACCTTACCCCCCGAGTTCTTCGACAAGCTGTGGCAGCCGGACCCATACATCATCAACTCAAAAGTGTCGGGTAAACGCAAATAACACCCTCCTCGGGGACCACCAAAAGTTTCGTGGCCTCTTTCACCGCTCTCGCTCGCTCTCTCTCCCTCCCCCAGAGATCGCCATGCTCACGCACCAGTTCTCCTCCGTGACGCTGTACCGCAACAGGACGGTGCGCTACTCGGCGCGCATGCACGCCATCGTGGCCTGCCAGATGGAGTTCCAGCTCTACCCGATGGACATCCAGCTGTGCCCCGTGTACATCGAGAGCTGTGAGTCGCGAGGCCTCCGGGCCGGTGTAGGCAACGCCAGGCAAGGCGGCCGCATCGCTATCCG